AAGGGGCTGGGGGGTGGGAGGTGGTGGGTGCTGGCACCGACACCGGCTGTGCACGCAGCAGCGGGGGGGGCTCCTGCTGCCTGCCCTCATCACTGTCCCGAGGCACCCGCTAATTAACACTGATTAAAGCACGTGACGTTGTTGGCGCTTCCAGAAGATGCTCATCAGTGGGGAATAATTAAAAAATGGAAAACACGGGGGGCGGTGCTGCCGGTTTTCCTTCTGTTCTGGCTGCCTGCCTGCACCTCCTGCCTGCACATGGGGCACCCATGGGGAATCTCAGCGCAGAGGGTGAGGGTGATGGACATTTCCCCGGCTGTCCCTCCTCCCTGGAAATAACTGATGGGCTCAGCTGCACTCCCCACGAAACCAGAGCCACCGGGAAGCAGCTGCCAGGGAAAGCGATAGGGAGCAAGGGGCTGTCCTGCTGTCCCCAGTGGGGACATGCAAGGGGGGGCACAGGGGGGACATTCTGGGGGAGACATGTGTGTCTGAACACGTCTGTGCCGGGGTTTTCATGCTGGCAGTCCCATGGGTGGGGGTCATATGGAGACTCTTGGTTCGGGAACAAGGCTGCTGTGTGAGCATCTGTGTGTGCACATCGAAATCCTGCTCACAAACACATGTGCACGTGGACACACGGACACACACACGTCCTGCATGCACACATGAGCACACAGGGCTTTGGGCAGCCGTGTCAGGTCCCATTCATGCAGGGCATGGGACACCAGAGTCACACCAAGGACTGGCAGCACCTGAGGGACATGTGGCTGCTCAGCCCTCGTCTGGCTGGGGACTGGTGGGTCCCCCCCTTCTCCTTAGAAATAGCAACAAATTTAGACCAAGCCTGGGGACACACCACGCTGAGGAATCCGGCAGCACAGCCGGTCCCAGCCACTAGTGAGGATCTGGTTCCCTCAGAGACTTCCCCAAGGGCAAAGCCTGTCCCCAAGCAAGCGCCCAGGGTCCCTGTCAACCCCTGGTTTCCGGGGTGTTTTCCTTGGGGAGGCACTCAGTGCCCCATGTGCCATCTTTATGGATCCCCTGCGTCCTCCCCAGAGCACTTCATCAGCCTGACTCACAGCCAGATGCCATCCCTGTGTCCTGTCACCACGTCCTGACACCACATCCTGCCCTCCACATTCCTGGCAGCTGGACCTGACAATACCCCAGCAGGAGTCAGATGGATCCTGCACCCCAAGCAGGGGATCTGGGTGAACACACAACAGTGCAGGAATCAAGCTGCGGTGGTAAATTCTTCTTTGTGACAGCTTTTCTGGGGACCCCAAAGAGCGGATGGAAGCCCCAGTCAAGGGGCCCATGGTGCTGCCTTGGCCAGCAGCTGCTGAGGGGGCTGGCACTGAAGGGAGGCAGCAGCAGGCCCAGGGTCAGCGGAGTCCCTGCGTGCAGGTGCTTGCTGGTGGCTTTGATGTCACCTTCCCCAGCAGACACCTGCTTGCATGGGACACGTCAGGAGCGTGGGGACTGCAGGGCACAGGTGGCACCTGAGGTGCCAGGAGGGCTGTGGTGCCATGCAAGGCTGCCCTGGGAGAACACACAGGCGCTTTTCATCTTCAAAGCACTCCCTGCGCCAACTTTCATCCCGGCCCACCTGGGAGGTCTCTGCTATTGCCGCCCCCATCTCCCAGTTCTTGGAGAGCTGGGACCTGGCCAAGCTTTGCAGGAGTGAGGGAAGGAGGCAGGGGAGCGAAGGAGGCATGGCACAGAGGGGAATCCCAACAGCTGAGGTTCTGCCGGGACCTGCCAGAGCCAACCGCCGCCCTGCCGTGCCCGCCGGGCCCCGCGCTGGCACACTGCAGTGTGGAACCCACGATTCCCTTCCAGCACCCATCCACTCAGCACCCACAGCCCTGCAGAGCTACAGGCACCCCAAGAGTCCCTGTCCCATCCCAACCTCCACCACCCCAAGAGACAACACACAGCCTCCAAAACACAGGCATTTAATAAAACTGGCTGCATTATAATTATTATTATTTACAGATCAAACATAAGGAAAAGAGTAGAAAAGAGGAACTGTTGTCTTCATAAATACCAGGCCCAGCATGGTGGGGGCTTTGTGCCCACTGGCAGCCGGGGAGGGGAACACAGGCACCCGCAGACACTCACACACACAGACACACAGCCCTGGGCAACTTGAAGCAGGGGGTCAGGTTTCCCCCTCACCCCTCAAAGCACCAGGCTTTTCTTTAGCAATAAGATGGGACCACCAGGATGTGATCACCACCACAGGCAGTGGGACCCCTTCGGTGGAGGCTGCAAGGGGGCAGCTCCTTCCCCAGTGCAGTGTCCCTGCTCCGTGCAGGGGGGAACCAGCCCCTTGCACCCCACCCAGGGGTGCTGGTGAGGAGCAGGACAGGCAGGAGCTGCCAGCAGCACAGGCAGGACAGCCACACATGAGGCCTTGTGGGTGTTGAGGACCAGCCACACACCCAGGGTCATGAGTCCTCTGCCTTCCCACATGGGAACTGCATGGGACCTGGCCCTCCAGTGCTGGCACAGGGGTCTGACAATGGATCCCTGGCCATCACATCAGGCCAGTGATGCTGTAGTACAGCAGGGCTAAGTTCAAAGGTCCTGTCACCATCAAGAGGTCCCTGCTCCTCCCAGGGCACAGCCTGTGCTTTGTCCCCATCCAGCATTGCCTGCTTTTGAGCAACCCATCCCCGGTGCCCACCACGGCACCACTACACATCAGAGACCTTCTGGGGCTCCCTGGCCTGGCGCAGCCCGTAGAGCCACTTGATGACACGGGCGTTGCGCTCGATGATGGAGATGCCGTAGGGCACACGCTCTGCCGGCCGTCCCTCCGGCGTGGCAGCGCTGGGCGGCGAGCGGCCGCCCTCCGAGCTGGCCGTGCTCACGCTGTGGAACTTGAGGGACACGATGTCAGAGCTGGCACGGGCGAAGCGCTCAGCCCCCATGTCCTGCATCTCCTCCGGGTCAAGGCCGCAGTAGTTGAAGAAGCGCTCCAGGTCGGCGGTGGCCCGCGAGAGGCGATCGCTCAGGTCCGACTTGGAGCGGTGCAGCAGCGGCTGCCGCCGGGCGCTCTCGGGGCGGGCGGGCGAGCTCCGGGATGGGGTCACAGGCAGCCCACCCGGGACGGGGG